AGTAGATATAAAGCGGATGAAATAATTAGCCGATCAAACAGGCGATTTATTCCATTATTTCATCTACCAAAGACGTCCTGACTGTGTGTTAGTGTCACATTGTCCGTAAATGGTTTACCATAAACTTTCCAAATAGATGCGCATCAAACTTGAAGGGCGGTATATCCTTTCCAGTAGGAGATTTGTGTCAGATATTTTTCATTCAGAAATATAGATCCTTGACAAGACAAGAAATTCAATTGAGGTGGGTGGGGGTCGTTGAGTTTTTCACGGTAAGTAAAGTGCCGTAACTTCAAGGCAAACTGAATTCGACACAATAGAAATATAAATATGATATCGGCTTACAGATGGATTTCCTAATTTTTTAGTGTCAAATTAAGCAAACTATTTCATTAATTGATGTTTCTAATGAATTACCATGTATTCTTAATCATATCATTATAAATCTTATTGCATATAATTAAGAGTTTTAACCAATCATAAATGTCCATGTATGTACAGTCTGGATAAACAAAAAAAGACTTTTTTGATCTCTCTTGATCGGTCACTCATTGGAGTTCTGCTGGTAATTCTCTTCTAATTTAGTTAATTATGAATGAATTAATTATGGACATGTGAGACAAACTGGTATTTTTCCGATTCAATAGACCATCTCTACTTTCTATTCATATAAGTATTACCATTTTCATAAAATAAGGGAACCCATTTTTAACTAAAACATAATATAGTGCGAAGTGGGGCTTGGTCGTACATAAGACACATAATGCACCAAAATATCCATATTCTTCTCAATATTATATAACCAAAGGTATGTTCTATAGTGATATCTGACTGAAAATGATGCAATTCGATGCTATCAGTGTCCCGTTATCTATCTATCTGTATGCATCGTTATGATAATATTAACGACGAGCGACAATAAAGATAGACTGAGATAAGAAAAGTTGTTTATTGCAGCTTCATCAAGACTCATAACAATTACATTAACTAATAGATACATTCAACAACACCGTTATAATATTAATTACAGTAATAGATATAATTAATGATATTACAGGGACGAAGGCTGGGTAGAGGGGTAGGCTAGCCGAGAACTGTTGAAAGGGTTCGGGAAAGGGGGAGGGGGTCAACAAAATTCTTATATGGAATAACCGGACAAATATAAGCAGATAACCGAAAGGTCTTAGTTTCGTATCTTGGTATACATTTCAGAAATTCAAAAGTCAAATTTCAACATGACAAAAGAAATGAACATTCGACGGTTTTGTATTTATTACCCCACGTTAAACATTTTTGTGAAGTAAAACTAAAAAACTGAAATGGACAGAAAGGAGGATAGCAGTATGGCTGTGTTGAAGGTAGGGACCGTCTCCCAGTCTCAGCCCCTATATTGAAACATAAATTATTATCAAAAGCGTTCAATAACATTGTCTTACTATCACAGTGACGGATCTACAACATCTGAATAAAAAGGAGTTTTTTTTCTAATAAGCTTTCTATTCTGTATCTTATAGGGGTAATGAAATTGAGTTATATTTATAAAACTCTACATTAGCGAATAATAATACATGATTTTATTTGGTTTACCAGGCAACCATACAACAGATTTCAGATCGGGTTGAATATTACATTAATAATAATAATAATAATAATAATAATAATAATAATAATTTCTTATATACTAATTTGTTTATTTTTATAATTTGAACATTAACAATATCAACATGGAATATATATGGCTATATAATGACTATTTTACAAATATTGGGCTTAATCAACCAAATCCTCCAAAATAAAGCGGTGTGGAATAATTGAGGAATGGTTGTTTCTGATAATTTGGCAGAAATTGCTGGTTATCGAGCCCAATGACTATGGCGTGAACTATATACAATGGTAATGTAACAATATTTACAGTAATATAATACCTATACCTCATCAAATTAATTATTAGATAATTTTAAAATATTTCAACGAGAACACGAACAGCTGAAGCCTCCCTTTCGGATAACTTAACATCGAATTTCGAACTCTAAAGAAATGGAATAAAAACATTTCTGGACAAATTCACTTTTATTTCACACGCCAATATTTAAAAACAGTGTTTTTTGATTCAATTGAATTTATTATAGTAGGCCTACATTGTACATCAAAATTCAAAGATAAAAGAAAATATTATTATACAACTTTGTTTTTATTTCAGACTTTTTGTTCTCTCTTTATCATTTAGAGTTCATAAAACCAAGCTTCCTGTTTACAATGTTCACATAGCTAATAATTTTATGTTGATATTCATTATTGGAATAAATTCGACCCTGTATAGTATTTTAAACTGCAAGTAACCATGCAACCCCAGCTACCTTTTCATAATGTCCTAAAACCTCGTGTCTATATTTCAGTACATTCGACCCTGTATACTAAACATCCTCAGTCAGTAGAAATTAAACAACCGTCTGTAAATCTACCAAACTATACCAGACACAACATTAGCGCATCAGATCAGAACAAATGTGATTAGAATTAAAATTATCCTTGCTTTTATTTCCAAGTTGTTTCAGACATAAAACAAATGGAAATAAATAGAGAAAATGTCTTCAGTACTTTTATATCATTCTCCCGCTCGTTTTGGAGTTTTTATTTAAATTTCGAACTCATCGACAATGATTTTACAAAATGGCAAATGGATTGAATGCTGGCAATACTTAAAGGTACTCTCACACCAAAGCGATTACTAGTTGAGTATGGTTGCGAATACGAATAGTGGTTATAAGCTTCGAACGCAACTTTCATGCAACTGAGTTGTGAGTTGCGTTCGAAACTAATGACCACTTTTAATTCGCAACCATACCCAATTGGTAATCGATGTGAGAGCATCTTTACGCAGGCCGTAACTAATTTGTTTTGGATATTTCAAACAGAAAATTAAATCATTTCTGCTACATGTACCATTTTTATTTTCTCCTCAATATGGACAAATGAGAATAGCCAGATGTGATATTACTTTCCCGCTCTTAATCCGTTACGTCTGCAACACTGTAGGTCACGTGACCCCCTGGTTATGTACAAAAGTTTGATTATAAAAACAGCGGTAGGAAAATTGAATTAGGGAAACGAAGCATTCGTCATGATAATCGTATTTGCTGGTGAATTGTACATTGACAAATTATATTTATCAGGCTGAGTTTAGAGAAGTTTCTATAGACTGAGACAGTATAATGATAGTCAATAGGTAGCTGTAATTCAATCTTACACCAATCTGATATCGTTACAATAAATTCAATAGAAATACCAATTCACTCTAAACACATTACTCTATTCTTTCTCTATCATGCTGCGTTCGTTTCGAGTGTTTATTCAGGGACAGACTCGCTAGCAAGGTCAATATAATCAGAGTCATTACCCTCTCTCCTTATACCTTGATAGTACGGTACTCTAATACTTAGTCCGAAACCCCCTCCCCTTATAGCTTGATACACAGGTACAACAATTCCTAGTCTGAAACCTTCGACACACTACCGTACGACTTTTAAGCCATAAATTAGACAGTTACAAAAGGAACGAATATGAGCCAGCAATAAAGGCCTTTCTCATAATCAAATGAATTTGGATATTTCTTCAAAATCCCGATCCTAGTTTTGGGCTATCTGAAAACAGGAGTACTGGTCACTCATTGGTACTAAAATCAATACACGTGGTCACTTTACCCCCGTCAGATTAGTTATTAATAACTGTAAGGACTACGAGAGTTCTGTAGGACTATGCGGTGTCAGTAGGTTTCTGGCAATTTTATGTCTAGATAGAAATATTCTATTTCGTTGATGGGTAACATTGTATCCAATTCCATTGAAAATTCAAACCAGAATGTTTCATTGAGTGTTCTTCTGTTGGTGATTTCACTTTCATCCATGATCTTACGAAAGTATCATCTCAGGTTCTCGGTCATTTAATTTTCAACCAATCAAATACCGTGTTACATAAAAGATTTCCTTACAATATGTCAGATTAAATCAATTAAAAACTATTATAGATATACTACTCCTTTCTTTAATTTTTGCTATAAATATATTTTTCGGCTAAAATTAAAGGAAGGAGTAGTATATCTATGAAAGTGTTCATATTTAAATATCATTTTAAGATAATATATGCGAGATGTTCTGGAATATTTATTTTTTAAAAAATTGACTACTATTGTCTAACCAATTTTAATAATGTTTTTAGAGTCGATAGTATAATTAATGACAACTTTTAATGTAATTGTGTATACACGCTATCTATAGATGGGAAATGGAGTCACCAACAAAAGTCAAAAACAGAATTCGACCAATCACAGAACATTTCAAAAAACAGAATTCGACCAATCACAGAACATTCAAAATCAGAATTCGACCAATCACTGATCATTTCAAAACCAAATTTGAACCAATCAAAATAGAATTGATCGACATTGAGAAAGTGTGGAAAGATATATATAATAGATTGTAATAGATTGTAACAAATTGTAAGATGATTTGACAATGAATCGTTTAATGAGATCAGAGATATGGCACGTTTACACGACACTAAACTAATCCGAATTAGAGCCGACTATCATCAACTTATATTAATTTTCATCACATATTGTCAGATATAAAATGAAGGAATCGTACATAACAATCTATTTTATTATATAAGTTAATAAGGAATTGTACATTCTAGAAATCAGGTAAGTCTATACCACAATTCGTCAATATTATTAAGTAACGGGTCTTACATACAACGCTTTGATTGGTTGAAAATAATATCATTAGAACGCAACTGCTGTAGAAAACATGTTAGATTACAATGGAGAAGAAAAATATAAGAAAAAAGAAACATAATTGTAGTCTTATTCTAATCTTTGATAATTAATTAATGTAAATTTCAAATCGAATTAAAAGTGTCGTGTAAACGCTTCAATAAATATTAAATTTTAACAAATAATTGACAACAATTTTCTATAATTAATCTAACTTGGTGAAATAATCTCAAAAATCCCCACCCCCATCTCTCATATAACTGTCTTTACTTTCCTTCTGCACAAATTCTTCTCTTGTTTCATAAACTGGTGATTGATTGGGCGATGTATTATAGTCGATTGATTCGTTCTGGGTCGAGCCGTATTTTTTATAGGTGAAATTATTTGTATTAGGTTTCAATGAATGCTCTGGTCGCCATTCTTCCTCCGAGGGTGGGTCTGCCCAGGGTTGTTTCTCACCCGAGGCGAATATAGCGTAGAATATAACACCAGCAAAATGAATCATACTAGCAATAAGAAAGACGTACTCCCATTCTCTGGTTGCCTGAAAAAATAATAAATTAAATTAAGTCTAAATGCAACATTCTGTTAAGCATCAACAACGCACGAGCGAGGACTTTTTAGTCAATCACTTTTTATCGTAAAAGAAACAAATAAAGTGGCTTTTGCAGTCAAGGTTAAAGACGAAGTAAGAAATAGCTTGACATTGTGAAGATGATACAAGAATGGGAGTTGTTGCAGTCAAGGTATTAGACGAAGCTTGTAATAGTTTGACATTGTGAAGATGTAGTTTGTAATAGCTTGACATTGTAAAAATGAAGTTTGTAATAGCTTGACATTGCGAAGATGAAGTTTGTAATAGCTTGACATTGTGAAGATGAAGTTTGTAATAGCTTGACATTGTGAAGATGTAGTTTGTAATAGCTTGACATTGTAAAGATGAAGTTTGTAATAGCTTGACATTGTGAAGATGAAGTTTGTAATAGCTTGACATTGTGAAGATGAAGTTTGTAATAGCTTGAAATTGTGAAGATGAAGTTTGTAATAGCTTGACATTGTGAAGATGAAGTTTGTAATAGCTTGACATTGTGAAGATGAAGTATGTAATAGCTTGACATTGTGAAGATGAAGTTTGTAATAGCTTGACATTGTAAAGATGACTATATACAAGAAGACCATATCAATTCTTACCGTTTCAAAATCTCGCTCTTGTCCTTTGGTAATTCTCTGTACTACGATAGGACATAACATTCCTGACAGGGTACCGACACTGTTAGATAGACCCATTAAAATACTAGCATACCGGGGTGCTATATCTAGATGGTTTACATTGAAACCTGGAAATATAAATCAAATGAATGGAGTTTTACGTCCTACTTTTCTGCACCTTGTGGGCTCATAAACAAAATACAGAATAATATTGTTACAAATTGATTGTAGGAATGAATTAAAACTAGAAAATATATAATAATCATAATAATAATTCATTGTATGAATGAATTCAGATGATGTTTTACATCCTCAGTGTTCTGGAAATTAAAACAGAAAAATATTGTCGGCAGAATTTGTAGTCGAAATATTAAAGAGATTGGGATGTAACGATACGAAGGTAACGATGGTTGTATTTCAACTCAATTTTCCTGATTTGAGTATAGTTAAAAGTAGTTGGACAAATATACGTCGTGTGGAGAACTGGTAGGACCAGAGATTTGTTGGACTTCGTTGAAGGGTAAATTCAGGCGAGGCTACAAAATCTATCATAAGTTTGTTTGTTCAAGAGACGCAATATTTAAAATATAAATATATGGAATTTAATGTCGTAATTTCTGAGTATTTCCAAAACTGAATTAAACTATTTTAACTTTAGGATATTTTCTATATAGTATTTTTACACTGTGTGCCGTCACTACTAGTAATATTCTAGAAAGTAACTAACTATTCTAACGCCAAAAAAAACGCAAAAATACTTCTAGAATATACATCATCACAGGTTGTCGTTTACCTTCCCTTCCAAATAACAAAAATAAAACAAAACATGGCTTATTTTAGAAGGCGTTAATAACATTTTCTGTTAACTCCAATGCCCTTTCCAACAGAATAAAAACTCTAATGACGATAAAAAAATATATTAAAAACTTTAAAAATATCGTTTGGAAATGTCAGCCTTCGATTTGCTTTAATAATGCCATTTCTAAAACCTTGCGCTCGGCTATTTATGAAATATATTCGACATTTAGAAGTTAGAAGAGCATTAATTTTTTACGAAGGCGAAGCACAAAGCCATCCAACCGTTTCAATTTGTTTCACATTTGGAAACTAATTTGAGTGAAAGAAAATGAACTGACAATATATCGGCGTGAAGCGACAAAATGAATTTTATGATTAATAAAGAAGAGAAAAAAAAACTGACGTGTAATTTTGCGCTTCACGTGCAGTCCTTATTAGTCGAGTGCACACTGCAGCGTCTGTCATAACTCTTTTCCATAATTTACTACAGGCTAGAGGAGATATACTAGTAACAATTCGCCCTATGGACAGGAGGGGTGGGGTTTTGGGTGGGCGGGGGAGCTGGGGACGTGACAAGTGACATGGGGCTGTGGCTGTTTAAATTCACTAACGACTGTAGAGTATAGTAGAGTATATACGGGTACCAGTGCAGACCGTAGGTTTGAAGTACAAAAATAGGTTAGACGTCCTAGGCGAAGAGACTTGGAGATGAAAAGGTTGGGCAAGATAATTACAACAAAATATCATCAGGTGGTTCCTGACATTCTATAGCATGTTGACTGTTGTTTATGAGCAAGTGGAATCTTGATTTAATTTAAACACCAGTTACTGACTCAATCCAGTCCTGGCAGATATTCACTTATTTGTCAGGATCGCAAGTTACGAACGTTGCTGTTTATGATAATAATATATCAAGAACCATCGTAATAACACCAGGTTTAAATTCCAATGGAGAACTTTGATCAACTGTAGTGTTATTTTCATCATATCATAGCTATTGTATGCCGATTGTTCTGTGTAGCATTCAAGATATAAGGTTCGGTCAAACCGTGTTATGTTTCAAAACGTGATTAACAAGTTTTTCGAATGTGCGAAACATTCCACAAAAAATCAGTATAAAATATCGGTGAGAAGTAGAATGCAGGATTTTAAACAGTTTGTCCACGTCCGAGGTCACCAGCATAGGTCAATTCTTAAGGTCAATTTCGAAATCTTAAACATCCTTTGTTATTGATCAATTGCCATGGTAACTTGGTAGTTTCTGACAGTTTGTATTCAAATTCAAATGATGAACCTGACCAGGAATTCGAACCCTATGGTACCTTATGACGCATTCTCGGACGAAGTAACTCGCGCCTATTGACTTATATTACTAATTGACGCAGTTAAACATTGATCTGATTGTATCTCATGATGTTGATCTGTATAGTGGTGGAGGGACGTGAAGCAGAGCATGCTTACTCTTTTAGAAACACCTGATGGTACTTCTCTTTGGACTAAACAACTCTTACTCTCGATTTAGCCATATTTTGGACGAGATTTTAATGAATGGAATTGTCTTGCTTGTAGATATAGTAGTGGGTGTCGAGTGCATAGCAGATCATGTTTACTCTTTTCGAAACACCTGATGGTACTTCTCTTTGGAGGAGACCACTACCAAACAACTCTTACTCTCTATTTGGCCATACTTTGGACGATATTTTAATCTGTTTGTAGAGATTTTTATGACATAGATTGGCAGTGAGATAAGATAAATAAAGGCCCCGATTTCTTTCAGATTTCTCGACAGATGTGAAACAAGAAAATATAGACAAATAATTCTCCTCGTTGCACACTGCATGGTATGGTCTGTTTTCGGCGCCCATCCACAAGCTGGACAACAGTAAATCTATTTCGTGTCATTTCAGAAGTTCCGTTGTTGTTTTTTATTTGACTGAAGTCGGGACGGGAATGATAATCGCGCGACAAAACATCATTTAGTTACTCAGTGAGGCTGAAAATCGTTAATCAGCCGTAACTTGTTAACAGAGACTACAAGATGTGAAGCTTTTAAATCCCGGAGTAGAATAATGGCGTTCGGAAACTCGACTAAAAGTGAAATGTAACCGAACGTTAATTTACGATTCGTTCCACATATTTTGTTGAATAAAAGTTATCAGGGTAAATAATTAAACACAATTTTTAGTGTTTTGGATTAAAAACAGATTGTATGACTCATGTTGTATGGCCTTGAATAATTCTGGTATAGGGTCATAGTATACTGACAGTCAAGGGCTCTAAAGTGTTTTTGTTAGGGAGGGTGGGGGCACTGGGAATAACTCGTCGGAGGCAAAGAAATTTTGAATATTTGTGAATTAAAACATTTTGAAGTGTATCTGAATAAATTCAACGGTTATTTGGCAATTTTCCTAGTTCACTTGGATATTTATTTAGAACAGAAATAAAGAGATTTTGACGGATAGTTTGGATTCGTGGATATTATTTATATAATCCTTTACCAGATTTTATTGTAAGAAACGCATGATAATAAACTTATTTTAGGGCCGATATTTTTGTGGGTCATCCTAATTTATGAGGCTACAGTCGTTTGAATTATCATTGATTCAGTTAAAGTTAAAAAATTTTAAATGTTTAGTAGATTTTTTATTGTCTATTTTGCTAAACACCCTCTACGTCTTTCTAGTGTTATATATCATTTTATAGTTTTTATTCTTTGACAGCTAGGTACCTAATATCTTCAATAAATATTATTATTATTATTATATACAATCCATGCCGAGACAATCGTTCTAGATAATCTATATGATGAATGGTTTGACGTTTCTATTTTGTTCCTCTACACTGTGACATTATTAACAGATTCCCTGAGAAACAGAATGTTAGATTGTTGTAGTTTGACAGACAATGAATGGATATTTAGGTTTAACAATTGACCCAGTAGAGTATTGTGTGTAACTATTGTAATGATATAATCAGATTGAGAAGGGAATAATATGACACCTATCACGCTAGTATTTACACGTTCTATAATTCTTTAAGTTGGTATCCCCCTCTTTAAAGGGTATTGTGTTGTTTTAGGAGGTCAAACAAAATTTCAACAAATTATATCGAGTCATTATAAAACCAAACACGAAAACTAGATCAAATGCTTAATTAACAATTAGTACACCCGTTAGATTGCCTTCTGTACGTGAAAGCCGGAACAACTGTCGTAAGGAAGAAAAGCCTAAGCGTATACCAAAGACTGTATGCATGATAAAGATCTTTAAGCGGTTGGATACGATTCAATTCAATCAAGTTGGATTCCCTAAAAGAAGGAACAAGCGTCGAGGGGAAGAAATGCCCATAAATATCAATCGGTGATTTGATATCGAAAGAAATAAACATGTGTAAATGGAGTTTACGTCCTACTGTTATGCACATAATAAAGACGGATAACGCCATGCAGTGCGCGAGGAGGGACATTTTGGGAATATACTGAAGTCTACGGGGATTCGGTTTATTGTCCATCCGAAGACTTAGACGCTTTTCAATTCAGTCCCTGAAGCCTGCATCAATTTTATAATTTAACCCAGATTTTCATGTTTTTAAATTTACAATTAATTGACTATTTGTTTTTTCATTACAACATTAATATACCTTGCAAGCGGATATTATCTTGGCTTCTTCTATATTTTTATCGGCGCTCAAATTAACAATGAGGGCCAATCTATCTTCAATGTAATGTCGTGACCATTGTTCTCAAGTTAGCAAATCTCCAACAATGCATCAGTATATCTCCCACAATGCATCAGTATATATCAATTTTTTATCGATTACCGTCACTTAGAGTCAACTAACTTAAAGTCGCCATATTGATTTTATACGTCATGTAATTCATTGGTATCGACTTCCCGGTCCATTCATTGTGTCAGTAAAGATACCTTTAAAGGGGTTTAATAGAGGTTTTCTTGTCCTTTTTGTTCACAATTTTAGCTTGGTCCTCGTTTCACTATTTATTACCATTTAATACCTAGACACCCCCCCCCCCCCCACACACACACACGCCACGAACCCCGTCCCCCAACTTTTAAAAGGACCTATTTTGTGTCTGACCTCTCCATTTAAAATTGTGGTTTCTGTAATATCAACAAAATATGACCAAAATATTCCACCTTTATTGTATAAACCATGAAAGTGAGTATATATCGTTGTGATTTTCTACTCTGGTCAGCTTATTATTGAAATTACAGAAACAGAATGTTGCAAGTTGGGAGTTATAAAGTCGATCGCTGTCAGGTTTACTGAAATTTAATTTTGCTTTGAAATTCAAAGTAGGGGGTCCCTTTAACCATTTACAACGACCTTCAATACAGTGGGTGTTATACACCGGTTTTAAACTATCATTTCCGTTTTAAACAAACTTTATCCTGAACCAAATGAAAATCTCTCTTCATTTCTCCTCAAGTTAAAAATCCATAATTACATTCCGCCATTTGTTTGCTTAAAGACTTAGGGATTCTTTTGTTCTGCGGAGTTTCATCCGGTACAGAAAACTAGAAAGCAATATTTCCTTTTGAAGAGCAATAATACACATTAATCGTTTGAAATGTGTTTTCGTTTGAAAATCTACTTTAAACATGGCGGAAATTGGGTGGATTAAAAACTAATGTACTTAAATATTAAGTCATTTGTTTCTTAAAAGTGAAATTTCAAAATGCGTTGAGCTTCACCGAATTTTACTGCATTTTTTTTATTGATTTCTAGCGTGCTAGTGAACTTTGCTGTAATTCGACAAAAACAAGCAAATAGAAGACAGAATAACCCGGGTGCGCTGTTTTATTCTATGACAAACTACATTACTATTTAAAGGGCGGATTAGCCATTCATTGTACATTATTGTATTTCTGGCAGTGTAAAATATACAGACAGTATACCTGGTGGAAATATAATCTGAAGTCAAAGAACAGAGATATAGCTAGAGGTACCTCTATCCTGTATAGATTGACTGATGACTCTGCGGTTTGACAATATGTCCTTAAGGTACCTTTACACCATAGCGATTAGCGATAGCTTATGGTTGCAAAGAATAGCAGTCATAGGTTTCAAACGCAACTTTCATGCAATTGAGTTGGAAGTCATGGTCACTTTCATCATTCGCAACCATAAGCAACTGGTAATCACTATGGTGTGAAGGTACCTTTAGCAATGAAGTTATCAGCTCTAAGGTCTTGAGTTTCAGTGTTTTGATTGTGATTTATTATCACTCTGTATATAGTTATTATGTAGTTAAAGGGATTATCTCATTTTATCATTGCCTTATAAAGTTCTTATTTAGTTGTGGGGTCTAGGAATCGTGCACTTTGTGAAGAAATCACAAAAATTTGCATAGTTGTTGTAATATGTTACAATATTCAAGGTGGACCCTGTGACAATGACATCCAGTCCTACTACAGGTTATGCTTATCTTCCCGAACACCATCATGTTATATATAAAACTTCAACAAGTTTTTAAACTCGATCTAATGATCATTAAGAGACTTACCGGAAATAGCAAATCCACTGAAACCAACAGCTAGAGTTAAACAGGCGATTGAGGTGGCCGTATCACGTGCGAAGGCAACACCCAATAAAAACACAGCTTCCATTCCGAAACCTGCAAATATACAAGATTATATTATACTATACATAGATAGATTATTAATAGAATAATAAAACTAACAATTTTTTTAAAGTTAATTAATTTGAAATGATGGACATGTTGATCAAATTTTTGTAAATTCTCTCAATTTTCGTTTCTTTTTTCTTACTGCAGTTTACTTCACTTGCCGACGGTATTTTTGACGGAATAATCATCAATTCACACTGATCTCATGTCTTAAATTTTCAAAGATATTTGATAAGTCAAGGGCAATAACTCAAAAACCGCTCATCGATCTAATTCGAACTAGACCAAGATCTCATCAATATAAATGATCAGACCATATTTCATTAAAATCAGATGAAAACTGTAGTCTCTAATGAATTCTATAGAACTTCAATAACGTGCGGAGGTTCATCACCAGTAATTCCTTTATATCAATTATAAATTGTTGATGAAATAGAAAATAACAAACAATCATCTTGCTATTGTTCTTTTCACCCAGGACGCCATTGTTTCATCTCAACCTGCATTCAATCCTTTATTATTAATAATCACTTGATGAGAACAATATTAAAACATTCCTACCACAAACAACGGAAATAGAATGGCTTTTTTGTAAATTACAGAAAAATGCACAGTTTTAGAAATAAAGGAAATCTTCAGCCTGTAGATTGACACAGCTGTAATTCCTATAAAGGACTGGGCGAAACACATAAATATAAACGAAAAAAAAAGTGCAAAGAATAATAAATTCATGTCCAATTTTTTCCATAAAGGACTTAAAAGAATTACAGGAAATAGTATAAATAAATGTGGAACAACAGATTGCAAGTATTGGCATAAAATAAAAAAAAGCAATCCCAAAATGTAGTTCCTTTTGAGTATATCGGTGTTTCATATCTTAATAAAGGTGGACGACAATGAACACGATACGGTAATGTTCCAATCCAAAACTTGGGTCATTTTCATCTTTATGCAATCAATGTTTCATATCGCTCGCTAGAAAGGTTTGACCCAAGAGATTGCACTGGCGGTAATGACAGAAAATATTTTAAACGATCTCTAAGAATCCTCAGCACTATTATGCAGACAGTTTTTATTAAGGGGAGGAGACACCATTATAAAAAAAAAACAAAGAGAACACAAATTTACAATTAATCTAAGAGAAAAATAGAAAATATTCGAAGCAATCCCTTCACTGTTCATCATTTTTGTCATTAATTTTTTGAAAAAAGTCATTCCACAGCAAACATTAATCTTAATAAATGTGCTGGGAGATAATCGGGGAAGTAAATATGGCGGTTTTTTGTCAAGAGGAAGAAATAACAGAGCAGAAATCTTAGTTATAATTGATTAAAGATAGGAGATTACAATAAACCCTTGGCACGCAATACAACATTCATTATTCAGCTTATTTTAATAGTCATTCGAGGCCGAATATAGCCACAGACGACAGTACCAACTTCATTATTAGGCTTAGAAGATGTTGGAGATTGGAAGAATAACACCCCAGGACGATCAGACTGTGCCTCGTGCAATTTTAATTAGCTCCACACCGATTTAAGAACTGGTCAATAAGACGGCTCTACGAAAATCACGAAATAGCAACCTAAAGCGAAACGAAAATCGTGTAAGCCTGGCGATTTGGGAACCTAGTCATAAATTCCGATCTCTTGCCAATAGCTAGTATAAAATCCAACTCAATTAAATTAAAGGAATCCTGAGATAAATGAAAAACGAAGAATTCATTGAATCTCTCACGAAAACATTCTCATTTCTTGATTCTCCTTCTTCACGATACGTGATAAACAAAGACACGAAACTCCTATAGAAAATACAGTCTAAGAAACTGGCGGAAATCTTCACAAGTTGATCAGAAAGTCTCCATTTCATACTTTGATCTCAGATTGAAAGATAATGACGTCATTTGACCTAGACAAAGATTATTTTGTGTAAAGGTCAAAGTAAAACTAGGGACATTGATATGTAAATTAATTACTTTACTTTAGTCTACCTGTAAATAGTAAGTCATATTAAAGTTGGACGCATTCGGATTGAAGTACGTAATGTTTCGCGATTTGTAACTTTCAAACATTTAAATAACTAATTAATATATTTTTCTCTGCAATTTTTTGAAGTTAGAATGTGTGAATCTTTGCAGCATTGCCCAGACATCCATAGAAAACAAACTACGACTAGGAGACTGGTGATATAAATTGATAATCAAAAACTCTACTAACATCATATAATATAAATTGAATTATAATACTATAACTAGAGTACGGGACGTTATGTTACATCACATCAAAAACTCTACTAACATCATATAATTTGAATTGAATTATAATACTTTATCTAGAGTACGGGACGTTATGTTACATCACATCAAAAACTCTACTGACATCATATAATTTGAATTGAATTATAATACTTTATCTAGAGTACGGGACGTTATGTTACATCACATCAAACACTCTACTGACATCATATAATTTGAAACAATTAATAACCTTGCTGGTGGCATCGTATAAATTATACACAGACAAATTGTTTTAGTATCATTGTAAGTAGATCTTACTGTGAGATAGTTATATTATAATTATACAGGCACATTCACAGCGGAAAAGAAAGAATTCAACTTTCAGCTAAACGATAACATTTCAAATCAGACAACAGCTGATCTGGGTGCCGTAATCCCAAAATTTTATAACTACGAATTTAGGATTCCGAGTAGCTATTAATTGGGATGCAATACTCATTATTAAAAAGCTAAGGTACACAAGTTTTTAAAATTTGTCAGATATCACGCTGGTCAATTAAAAAGGGATGCCATCGATATAAACGTTTTCACCTAAGCATTAGACTATGTTAACGATCCGAACCGTAAAAAGCAAAATCCAAAATACAAAATAACAGTTTGGCAATACATTGATAGAGATACAAAGTTTCATATTAGAAAACTTTTTGTACAAAACTAATCAAATGAATTTGAATGACAATGGGATACTAGACATACCGGTAAAAAAGGAACCGAGATATGATCGCTACCAGACTTCCTTTCAGGCCAACAGAAACATTACCCAGCGTCTGGTACCTGATAAACTAATCAAATAAAATACCATTCAATTTACTGCTGGTTAATCAAATCTACTGGTATAGTCTCGAATTAAATGTCACATTTACATTCTTATCAATTCAATACACATCAGAAGCGTTGCTGGAAATCAAGACGTGATGCTACTTTAGCCACGAGGACACGACACCACTCTCCGCATGCTTACACTTTCAAATAAAGACAAGAATAACAACTTAGTCCACAAGAATCCTATCTTACAGGTGGTCATTTATTGACCATACCCTGACCCTACAGCTGGAATATTTATAAAAGATGTCTTATTCAAAGTCATTAGAGTTTTTAACGTCAACCGAGATACGCAAAAATTAAAACGGAGCGAATAGTGCTAAAGCTACAAAATCATTGTTGGTGAAACTTCGATTACGATACTCTCAAATCCAACAGTTACAACATTATTAAATTCTAGTTGCAATCTTTATAATGATAGGTGTTAGTTTCTTGTTTTAATTACTAGAACCACAGGTTTCAGAGAGGAATTCGGATTGGCGCAAACAAAAGCTATAAGTCATGATCACAAGGACGACGAGAGAAACATGTAGAAACGTTGCCTATAACTTTAACCAGTGATTGTTTTTCCATGTGTCTTTATAAAAGTTAAAGTCTTCGTGGAAGCTATAAGTGTCAATGAGCGGAAACAAAGCCAGTGTCTGAAACATGACACAGAAAAACATAGCATTGAATCAAGAATCTACCGGACATTTGAATAAAGTGTAAATTTTACTAACATCAGTACTTCAGCTATCATGTCTTGAGATAGATAACGATAATAGACTTATTAAACTTATCTCCTTTCTCTCTAGTATAAGTATTTTAGATGTCGAGACGAGATAGGATTGACACAATATTTATGTTCTCTCCAGCACCCTCGTAGTTTAGACTGAGACTGAGATCATAATTGATTCTGAAGCCACTTAATAAAGCCGGCATTGTCAAACTGATATAGACTCTGATTATTATCATCATAATAACTTTATATAACAAAATATCTCAAGATCTTTGACAGTTAGGACAAAACCGATGACACAATGCTGTAGATGTGGCTTCGAGTGGAAGGAGTTGTGAAGAGGTTCTGGGCAATTTATCGGAAATCGGAAGCATTCATTCTGGCATCAGATTGTGCAGATTGTATCGGACATGCACAGTCGGTTAGGGCGTTATAATCTTAACATGACGACAATGACTTGGTTAAGTCGAACAAATGTTGGTCTTGAGTTCTGATCGCGGTCAGTGACCTATTCACCTTTATCATCCAAAACAAACGTTAGTACGGCATACAATCGAAATAATAATTTGGCTGAAATGCCAAAAATACGAAAATATGAGGAGAAAATGTATAAATTTATGAAAGAAGTGTTAAGAGTGGTTTGTGGCTCTGATTAGAAGAGACATGCCCATTGTGGCATATTTTGGACAAATATCTGTGTCAACCGAACTGTTCAAACCTCTCAATAAACCGAGACACCGTGTGCTGCGGACTGTGCACGTTAAATATCCCTCGACAGTTGGAAATCGAAAAAGAGCAGGCTAATGCCGCTGTCCTGGCAAAATTTCCATCATTGCACCCTGCATGGCGTTGCCCATCTTCATTAGCCCACATGGTAAAGAAAAAGTAGGACGTAAAACTACATTGATTTTATATCAGATATTGATAATACCATATAAATTATAATAGTTTCAAGTTTCAGTTCGGCTGTAAAGGGTCCTGTCTGTTTCATCGATCGTGGAAAAGAGCCGAGATAACAAATGAAATATTCCTATTATTACTGATCTCTAGGGAGCTGATATTGTATTTTAAATAGATCATTTTCAACTCTTCTACTGGCGTTATATATATCATTTCGTCTCTCTATACATGTGATTAAAAGGGCTCTGCCAATTGTAAAATCCATTTTTCGTTAACCTTGTCTCTTTATCATTAAAAGGGCTCTGCCAATTATAAAATCCATTTTTCGTTAACCTTGTCACTTTATCATTAAAAGGGCTCTGCCAATAATAAAATCCATTTTTCGTTAACCTAGTCTATTTATCATTAAAAGGGCTCTGCCAATTGTAAAATCCATTTTTCGTTAACCTTGTCTCTTTATCATTAAAAGGGCTCTGCCAATAATAAAATCCATTTTTCGTTAACCTTGTCTATTTATCATTAAAAGGGCTCTGCCAATTGTAAAATCCATTTTTCGTTAACCTTGTCTCTTTATCATTAAAAGAGCTCTGCCAATAATAAAATCCATATTTCGTTAACTTCGTCTATTTATCATTAAAAGGGCTCTGCCAATTATATATCCGTTTTCCCGTTGTTCGTCTCTTGTATCTTTTTGATGAGGTCCAGGCCCGTAGCCAGACTTGATTGTTCGTAGTAATATATTAAGTTATATATCCGGAAGGGCAATGATGTACCCTTGTTGTTTAGTTACAGTAATGGAATTGGTCAATTGTCGGGATTTTTTCAGTTCTGGAATTGGTCGGTTGTCGGATTTATTTCAGGCCCGAAGTCCATTTTTTCGAGAGCCTCTCGGGCCTGATGAGGTCAGATTAATGTCTAATTTGTAATTGATAAATGCCAATTCACATACAATACGACCGAACTTAAACGAACGTGTCGTTAACCCCTATTTTTGATAAAGCTCTCCTGATGATGATTGTTTATTCAAAACACTTGTCAGCAGTGTGAGATACAGTGGCTCAATTAGGTGAGTGGGGGTCGCGGATTTAAATGGGAATATTTCCGACATATGCTCTCCTACATTTTGAAACCCGTCAATTTAATGCTTGTTGATGGAAGATTGAAAAAATTTCAGTCTGTAGAAAATACTATTTCACTCATTTATATATTGTTTAAATTTTGTATATTTTTTGTGCTTGGGGTTGAGGTCCCTTATAGATGGACTCATGTTTCGGTGATTGATTACATCTCTACCAACTATTCTTTGTTACCCTGTACGTTGATATTGAATTCTATTAATATGTCTGAAATTGTGTCATTACGCATCTTGATCTATATTTTACTATCTTTAGGGAATTTCTTTAAATAACGAAAGTTTCCTAAAAAAAATTAATATACAACGCCATAAATAGACGAGTTACGGTGTAGGGTGAGGTATTGTTGATACAGTTCAAAATAGAATAAGTGAATATATGAGATAGGGGTCAGTGCCTTCACGATTCTCTAAAACCATTTTCTACTGTATCGAAAATCCCGCACCGTACACCGCACCGGACACCGCACCGGACACCTTTGTCACCTTTAAGACAAAACAGAGTTTTCTCGCCTTACAAATAGAAGAGTAACATTTTACGGACGGTGAACGGAAGCTGGGTTTAAAAGGGTTTGAAAATGAAGGAAACGTTGGAGTCAATGTCACGACATGAGATTTAATATTGATGATATTAATACTGTGTCTGAGACTACAGATTATAATATTATCTTTTAGACAACTTTGATATTGTTATTATCACATAATGACATGATAAAACTAGCGTGACAGCGTGATGCAATATAACGTGACGATCATTTCAATTTCTTTTTAGTAGAGTGCTCTTATGGGTATGTTTTACAGGAAAAGCCCGCGAGTCCCTCTTGACTATTCTGTTTAGCCTACTTGGCCTCAGCTAATGTTCCATAGAAACACCTTTGGATACTTGACGAAAAGTACATAGACATAACGTGACAAATAACTCATTGATGTTATAATGCAAAATTGAACCACAGAAAATCCAAATCCTAGCCTTATCCTTAGCAATAGCAAATCCAATTTTAAATTACATGTGTCTTCAAACTCAAACTCAACACCTCCGTAAGCGCAACGTATTGTTCCGTGAGCTATTTTATGCGTCTACGGACAGCTGACAAGGTGTCAAACTGGGGGAATCCCCTTTATGGCATTATAACTGTGGGGGACTTTCCACTCCTGTATGTATATTGACGGTTTTTCGGAAGCATCGTATATGGACACATGTAGTCACTTTTTGAGTTTGAGCTTGAGATTGAGTTGCTCTAGCGTACACATGTAATCGCAACTTTATAAGTGGTCTGTATCCATTTATGTCGCTTAATGATCGCATTGCATTTCGTTATGGTTCACTCAGCATCTGGTAAACAGGGACTAAAGAAAAAAATATCCAGTTCTTACCTCCACAGTTAAAGATTTTTCTAACGACAGTCGTAGTTAATATTCTCATCCGTAAGAAATCTGCTATTTGTCCACCAATAGGTACAATTATAGCCATAACCAGATGGGGCAAAGCTGACAATGTACCGCTCTGAAAAGAGACAAATTAAATATTAAAAATTGTACACTAAAACAATGAAAACAGATAAGGCCGAATAGTACCTCAAATACCGTGGGATATTGAAGTGTCGCTTATCAAGAGGGTATTTCAACAATAATAACAAGAAAACTCGTGTTACAATTAAAACGGTCATGGGGTGTTAGAGGACAACTCTGGGACATCCTCGTAAACAGAACCCGGTTGAGCTTCAGGTGATAGGAAGAGTAACTTTAACGGAGTATCATCCTCTAGAACTTATGGTTATCTATACATTTTATATTAACACAACACGATTTACTCGTAAAATATAATAAAATCGATAAGAGCAGATCATCTGCTGCTGACAAGCGTTTCGGATATGATATCATCGCCAGGACAGCTATAAATAGTTCAGAAGCGTATGACCTCCAATATAGAACTGTAATATATTATAGTTTTATGCCCCCGGGAAAAAGATCAAAACGAAAACTTTTTACATGACATTTCGGTTAAATACCAGTAAATGTAGAAAGTAAAGTGTAAGGTATCAATAAAATATCCCAGGGTTTAATTCTATCAAATTAATAGTGGTCCCTTGTTGAAGGTTAATCTAATAACTAGAAACTTTATCATTCCTTTATACACCTTCATATATTATTCATACATCTCTTTTACTTTCTACTTTCTAGTTTTTTACCTAGGTCATTTCAAATCATTATCCTAAACTTAACATGATTGAGCTTACAGTAAAAGGAAATGAAGTTTTACGTCCTACTATTCAGTAAGCTCTCAATGAAAGTTGGTACTATCTAATAGACAGCCTTTAAGACACGTCATGGAGCCGTGGTGTCTCAGTGAGTTAGACGCTTGCTCACTAACCTGAAGGTCCAGGGTTCGAGATAATACCTTCGGATTTTTCAACCCGGTTTCCCCCTGTCAGTGATGCAGGTAAGAGGGGCTGACATGGAAAAAAGCGTCTAGTCGTTCAGATGGGACAATAAACCGAGGCCCCGTGTGCTACAGGCTGTGCACGTTAAAGATCCCTCGACAGTTGGAAATCGAAAAAGAGCAGGCTTATGCCGCTGTCCTGGCAAAATTTCCCTCATTGCACCCTGCATGGCGTTGCCCGTCTTCATTAGCCCACATGGTGCAGAAAAGCAGAACATGAATAACCATTGTAAATATTTGACGGTATGTCGGTAAGCATTATTGACCTTATGATGAATATCGAACTCTACACGCTTTTGAGGGCAGACTATAGCAAAATTGGCTCAAGATATGGAATTGTGACGAAATGATCCTCTTGAGCCTAAGTTATTATCCATGACAACAATGGTTATTTATTTCTTTTTCTCGCCGCTGGGTTTTATGTTATATAACTAGGCTTCAACATACTATAATAAATATAAAATACAATACAGGGATTTGATAGAAGTTAATTAATTTCCATTGTCTATTCCAAACTCAGGAATAAATTATTTGGCAAAAACTAACTTTCTTCTTGTCCGTCTATTTTAGTAATTTGACATGTTTGTACTTTTTTCTGCTGAATCAAACTCTTTATGAACGGAAACGTTGGCGGAAGGTTAAAGTAGTGAATAGAAGAAGAAATTATAAACAAATCACTCCGCTATAACCCTGACATTAATAAAATATACCACCGGAAGTAATTACTCGCCATTTTCTTTTAGATATTTATTAACAATTGTCTATAGTAAAGTATATGAAATGACAGGACAATCGAGTGTACTCGACACGGTCTTCCGGTCTTTTGTAATAACGATGACATGATGGTTTAGAAAATGGCGGCTGTTAAATATTTATTTCGTTGTTTACAGACTGTCAACAATTGAGGAAGCTGAGCCAATTTATTACAGACGTTCAATGTTTGGAAACAATTCAACGGAAATGAACAGGATTCTTTGACGATAAATGACGAGATTTGATGACATTTGACGAGACCTCTTTGCATTATGGTCTTTATTGTCAAAAGGGTCACGTGGTTGTAGCAATCGTCTGTATTTCAAGTTAATGACATTTGTAGACGATATTAAACGATGATTTGAAATTCGATGAGTTTTGTTGAAATTCAGTGTGTCGACTTGTTCTCGCGGTTTAATTAAAGTGGTAAATCGTAATTTGAGAGTCAAAAAGTGGCTGAACAAGATGAGTTGTGTTGGGTTGATATAAGAGTGTTTGGGCCCCTCTTCCCGGAGAAATTTTAAAATATGCTCTCCTGCATTCTGAGACCCCACTGTAAGTCAATTAACAGTCTAATTGGAATTAAACCAAACTTTTTAAGCTCTCCACTGCAAGTCAACTTAATGCTTTTTCAACGATTCAATGATTTTTAGTCTGTATAAATATTATATATATATTTTTTTGGGGGGTAGGGCGCCCTTAGTTGGGGCGTGGACTTGGTTCAACCAATCCCTATCGTAGTAGATTTACTGAGGTCTAAATGATCTCTTAGGTTATGACTAGCCAAAATTTAAATTTATACTGTAACGACTATATATTTAAGGTAGACATTATCACAATGACCGCTGAGTAAGGAACAGTTTATCTGACCTACCTATCTAACTTATTCTTGTTGTTTTGTACCTTTGATAATTCATTTAAATAAATAAACCAGGTACTAACAATCCGAATCGTAAAACAAAACCCAAAATAACATATTGACGAAACATTGATAGCAACTAATGAACTTTTCACACGAGGAAGTATATCAATTATAAGTTAGTAAGTATTTCATAATGAAAAGTGACATCAGGTGTCTAAGAGTAAGTATACCCTGCCTGGTGACATCCGTTATAGCTGTTTAACATACACATTATTCAAAATAATTCCCATTTTTAATTATTTTTTTATTCATTCACTGGATCTATGTGTTTATTAAGATTATAATATAAACAATTCGATATAAATATCGACTTACCTTGGAGACCTCGAATCTAAAAACTTTCAGAAAGTAAGTTGGTTGACTGATAATCAGTAGGTAAAATGTCCAGCTTCGGCAGAAATTAGCCACCATGATGGCGTACACTGGCATAGAGGTGAAGAACTTCAACCAGGGCGTTTTGACATCCTGTAATAAATAAGAATTTTCATTCATGAATTCATCTCTCTAACGACACCCGGGGGATTGTGGCTTCATGTGCCCTCACGCCATAACGATTACCGGTTGTGAATAATGAAAGTGGCCAGTAGTACCGAACGCAATTCACAACTCAGTTACATGAGAGTTGCATTCGAAACCTATGTTTTTCTTATTTGCAACCATTCCTCAGTGGTGATCGCTATGACTATGGTGTAAATTCCCCCTTTTCACAAATATTGTAAAAACCCAAGAAACTTGCTAAGAAATCGGAAACACTGAGTGTCATAATTCGTAATACATAAAATGTTTTTAAACTGGCATAAGAAGGAAATTAATCGGGACCAGAAAAAAATGTCGGATTACTCGGATGTCGGATACACTGTGTTTAATATTTCTATATGTGGTTGAATTTTGTATTAGTAAATGTTCCTATAGTCACGGTACGACATTATCCATGTATTTATAGTGTGGACTTACCTTAAGTATAACTGATGTGTTTTCACCAATTGATGTTTCGATGTAAATTTTTTCAGCTTCCGAGATGGTTGGATGAGTTGAGGGTCTTTCAAACGAGAAAAACCACCAAATAACAGTCCACAGTAAACCAAGAGCACCTGTTGAAAAAGAGAGATTAAGTATTATTATTATAACTATAGGGCTGAAGAACTACAGGCAGAGAGGCTTTGTAAATTGTGCATTCCTTTCAGAGAGTCCACAAATTACAATAATACTAATAGTAAAGGGTTTATTGATTCTAGGATTCAGGGGCTTAGGGGCAACATGGCTCTACAAATGAATTTGTCAACCCGGCATCCCTCTCTGAGAGTCCAGATAGTTAATATTGTTTATTTGGAATATTTATCTACGATGTTTTGCTCATTTTAAATCTTAGTAAATGTCTCCTATATCAGGTCAGGCTTGTTAAAGATATGTGTATTTCAAAGGCTATAAGACTTAGACTATAGGTTCCAGCATGAAGGAAAACCAGGACCTTTCATTACAATGGGACTTATGCTTTATGAGCTGAATTGTCTTCATCATTAGCATAATTATATATAATAGATCTCACGGGAGTAGTAAACATTCATTTACCCTTTCTCAGACTTCATGGCAACGACCTAATTTCTTATAGAAAATATATGGCAGTAATCTTACCTACTTTTAGTCTTTTAATGGAATCTACTTTTTATGATGCCTTTTTTTTAATAGAGAATCAAAATACTCTTAGTTAATTATTATACGCCTGTTAATTAGGATAACACATCTATTTGAAAATACAGAAACAATTTGACCTACTTTTAACCTTTTAATTGCTAATGGAATTTATTTTAATGACGAATTCGTTACCAAGAACAAAAAAAAAAACTTATAATCAATTTTTTTTACATTTTTCTTTCGTTTTTACACATTACATGTACTTATTAACCCTTTTAATGCGGGTCTTTGATCTCAGATAGCCAATATGGGTTCTCCCAAACTACACCGTAACTGTGAAGAAATTAATTAGTATCTTAGCATTAATATCTTCGAAGGAATTAGCTACTTTTATTTTAGCTTTGAGAATAAACATTAAGTCTTTAAAATAAAGCTTAATTTGTGAAATTAATATCCCCAATTCGCCATAAAATATTATTAACTTGTATCAGCTTTTCTCTTTGATTTCCGTTTACTGCCTTTTACACTAAAAGGGACCAACAAATCATATTTTATATCGTTTTCCTTTATCTTTAAGGGTTCGAGAACATTTAACAAAAATTATTATCATATCTTGGAATATTTCTTTTTTAAAAATGGACACAACACACTTTAACCCTTTTGTTCCCGTAATGAATAACAAACCATGATTTTTCTAAAAACTTTTTACGATACATTAACTTAAAACTCTCTTCAACTTAACAAACTTTCCACATTATATCGCTGTTGTATGGTCGCTAAAAGTATGTCCATTGAATTACGGCAATAATCAGCTTCAATAGCACAATGTAACAGCTTCAAGTGGTTTCGTACAATTTTCTTACTTTACTGAGTGTATTGTTAATAAAACGAAGCGAAAGATTCCTTTCGAGACAATTTTTTTTTATATAAACAATTTTTTTTTTTTTTTTTTTTTTTTTTTTAGACCCGTTAATGTTTTTGCAGTTTTAGCGTTCTTGAATTCCACACTATCAGCAAAATATGCTGTACGAAGAGTAAAATGTTGAAGAAGGTCAAGAATCGTGTAAATATTAAGTTAACTGTAGCTCTTTATCACCAGCTTGAACCTTCAGAGAGAATTATTACTATAAATATAAATTTGCCTCGTAGTGGCACCAGAACGATTGGAGAATGACTCGACATCACAAAAAATTAGAGAAGATAACGGCTCTAAAGCACCTTTTGAATTCTCAAATTAAATACATCATAATTTGAAATTTCAGACAGAAAACAGTAACATCAAAACATATCATAAGAACGCGGTGAAAATTTAGATTGCTTTATCAGCAGAACAACAGGAAGGGAATAGCTCTAAAGCATGGATTGAAATTTCAGAAAGAAGACAGTTACATCAAAACATATCATAAGAACGCGGTGAAAATTTAGATTGCTTTATCAGCAGAACAACAGGAAGGGAATAGCTCTAAAGCATGAATTGAAATTTCAGAAAGAAGACAGTTACATCAAAACATATCATAAGAACGCGGTGAAAATTTAGAATACGGTTAAATCATGTCATCAATAGAATAGCTGTAAAGCAGCTTTAGCCTTCAGAGAGAATTACCAACTATCAGTTTGTAATTTACCAGAGAATAAAGTGTAAAAGAATGCGGTGATATTGATGTTAAATGGTTGTTTGAAGATTTCTGTCACCTCCCATTCTCATTTATCATCGTTATACCTCGCTCTATAATTTCATTAACCAGATCTCCGACCATAGAAAATACTGTTTTTTCAACCTTTATTAGTTTAAGTGGAGATTTATACCCGCAGACTGAAATCAGTTCAAATTTTAATTCAATTTAAAAGACAGGAGAAGATTCTTTGACAAATTTGATTTTATAGATCACTTTTAGAACTTTGGCCTATATTGTCTTTCAACAAAGGCGAGAAGTTTTTTTATGGTATTGTTAACATTTTATTTATCATTCTTAGAAAACAAAATAAGTTCATTGAAAATTCAACTGACTCCGATTTTAAACAAATGAGGTCGTTACCAGATTCAGTACATCTTCACGATGTCAAGTTACTACGAACTTCGTCTTATACCTTGACTACAATAACCACCTTTCTTGGATCATGGAAGTTTATCAATGCAGTGATATGATTGGATTGTACACTAGCCAATCATAGTCTTCGACAGAAAGTTTATATACTGTTTATAAGAAAGTATTTTAGTCTGACTGTCTAGGGCTATGATTGTCTGTATCCAATCCAATCAATTCTATGTATTCTATGATGAAAGAAAGGTGGCTATTGTAGTCAAGGTCTAAGTACGAAGTAAAGTAAGTTTCGGCAACTTAAAGACTTACCAAAGAAGTAGAATCCTGACTGCCACCCTAGATACTGAGTCAGTACTCCTGATACAGGCATCCCCAATACAGCTCCAGCATACGACCCTGTAATTATATAACAGAGATGTCAACAGTATTATCAGAGAGGCATTATAAACATGTTAGACGGAGTAAAGGAAGTTGAAAAGGGTGTAGAATTGAGTAAAATAGGGTAGAAAGGCGTCAAGTTGGTCCAAGTAGTTCACAACGAACAACGGAAGAAGTGAATACACGACTTACGGGTAGGGACACGATTCGTTTCTTCTATTTTGTACTATATCTATAATCCACACCGTAAACCACACCGGACAACGTACATCGTCTTTTCCTATCTTATTACGGAGATCTGAACAGCATAAGAACGATTAGAACGGCGTAGAAGTTAATTGTATAGAATAGAATGATGTATGTTTAGGTAAAATGGGGTATAGGTTGATATTGTGGGATAATGAGTAAGACAGAGCGAACAAAATAATATTCATCTATCTATATATTCATCTATCTATATATTCATCTATCTATCTATATATTCATCTATCTATATATTCATCTATTTATATATTCATTTATCTATATATTCATTTATCTATTTATTCATTTATCTATATATTCATCTATCTATATATTCATCTATCTATATATTCATCTATCTATATATTCATTTATCAAGTTTAGAATATATGAAAAATATCATAATAATCATATCCGCTTTTAACTTTCCGACAAACATGTAAGAAGTCTTCGTTTACAAGAACATCATTAGCTTTCAGACACTAATATCACTTTGTAAAAAAGAAAATACAGGTTACAAAGCGCAATAGGAAAAAGATAAAAGATTTTGTAGAATGGTTAAAATATTAAAATTAGGTCACACTAATGGTGACCTATTTATCTAAATCATGAATGAAACCTGGTTTGTAAAATATTAATATCGACATTTTACCGGAAGTAAACTTGGACTGCGGAAATGGTGACATTAAGAGTTTGGTTTCCCTCTCTTTCTAGTAAAAACCTGTCATTCATATTCAGCCAGCGACCACGCCAGCCTCCCGACACAAAGGGTACAGATAGAGGGCAGACCGACTCAATGGGGGACAATAGTCAAGGCTAGATTCAAAATATAGTAACTCTATGAGGCGTCATAGTCTCAGGCCTCTCATGGAGCGTCTGAGAGGGCTCTCCTAAATTTTGCAAAATGTAATTGATTTGATGCGATCTGACACATATTTTGGGGCAAACATGTAAATTTGTCAAAAACCATTTTTCTAGAAAAGGTAGGGGGAGGAGTAGGGGATATAACCCTACTGGTGCCGCCACTGTTCATATTTGTTTCCACGTATGAAAAATATTTATTGTAGTTTGTTCGCCCTCTCAGTTTTTTTTAAATGTCGTTTTCAAAAGATGTTGAAATATAAAAGACGATTTCGCAACCCCAGAATATTTAAACAAAGGAAAAAAACAATGAGATAATGAACAGTAAAATAGGGGGATGAATTGAAAAAGTTGAAAAATGGTCATCCTAGGCCAATTCAAGATAATATAGTCGATAAAAAGATTAACTGGTACGCCTTCGAACTAACACATTGCGACATAATATTCTGGATCATTGAAATTGTTGTTATATTCCAGAACATTAGTAGTGGAGGATCTCACCAGCGAAGCAGATCATGCTTACTTTTTCGAAACACCTGCTGATGTTCTTGTTGCTGTTCTGTTAATACCTGCCTTTCTACTTCATCCCCCCCCCCTCACTGTTCCTATATAACCCCTTGTCCCATCTGATGAGGACACGTGTAAATTGTGTTGAAACGTCATGTATTTTGTTATTAAACTTCTAAATGTCATTCAAATCTTCTTAAAACACCTGATGGTACCACCTCTTTGGAGTTGTCGACTACATTCTTTTGATGAAATTTTTGATTGACAGAATTTACGTGACTATAACGTATAGCTGGATGTACTGTAAATATGAACCTATTGCTCTGTCGTGATAAATATAACGACCTCGACCAGGACACTCCTAAAATAACATCCAGGCTGAAGTAAGAATGAATAATTCACAGTTTTATTTCTGGCCACTCTAAAACACGAGGTGAACAGACTTGCTGCACGAGAAATAAAAAATGGCGGTAATAAAAAAATATTTCTGAACTGTTTGAGCAATTTCCGTTCTTTTCATTACAAGTTCTCGAAGAAAAAACACCATCGGTTTTAATCCTCGTGTTTCTACGACTTGTCGCTTAAATCTTTCGTTTACTTTTTATACAGAAATCCATTTTTTGTACGCAACATGTCATTCTTTCGTTTACTTCTAGGAACCTAACTTGTTCAAAGAGAATCGAATTTTTGTCACTCGACTTGAACTATTCTTAACTTGTTTAAAAACATTCAGTGAGGCGAAGTTGATTTCCGGTTTAAAGCAACTTGGTTTGGCGAATTGTTTACCCTTGAAATTAAAACATGGAGAAAAAACCTCCCTAGAGCAAGAAATCTGTCAGGGAGGTCACTTAGTTTTCCTGTTATTGATGTGATCAGAATTTTTTGATGTTCAGTTTTTGTCAAGGAGTAATCCTCTTTGTACGGTCGCTCACATACATTTTTTCATTTTGAATTAAAAACTTTCATTTTCATCTTGGTGACAATAATATTCACCAAGGAGATAATTCAAGGATTTTGAATTAAAAACTTTACAAGATTCGCTGAATTATCATCTGGATATTATAATCACCTAGGTGAAATTTAATTTTTTTACAAATTGAAAGTGAAATATGTCGTATGTGAGCCACCGTATTTTCAAAAGGTGAAAGCGATTGTTAATAACGAGTCACTTATAAGAAGACATTAAATATAACTGACTAATTTTTTTCCATTTGTTAAAAAGCATTTTGATTGGTAAATTGCTGGAAAACCTGACGTCGAATGTTTCTATGATAAATATTGCGGATATATTGAATTTATTGAGCTCTATCAGCTAACATAATATATTATTTAGACGGTCATATTCCTTTAAAGATCGTGAAATTAGAACTTAGTTTCTCTGCATATTTGTATAAAAGAAACACGAATGTTAAAAAAAGGATTCGCCTCCAGTACAAAACTCTTTTTCAATAAATTTGCATGAAAACAAATCTAGGTGATATCTGATGTTTTGTTTCAATTTAAAAAATATTTCAATTGTGACATTTAGAATAAAAATGACAGCTGAAAGTATACTGTGTCAATAATTGAAATATTTTTTTTACGAATCTTACTCTCACGTGAAATATACAAATTCCGCACAACAGATACCCACTTACTTAAAGTGAGCAATAGATTAAAACCTTAAAGGCACAGATGCGCCATTTTTTGAGATCTTCAGTCTCAGGAACGGGAATTTTATTACTATGTCAATCAGTAATAGAGTTCACAGATCACCGTCGAAATTTAAGCCTTCAAATCCATATGTGTCTAGAATTATCCGCGTTTGAATGTTAAAAAGACGACTCGTCAATTAAAGCTACACTGTGATATATAGAAAAAACATATATTGAAAAAGTTAGTAAAATTCTTAGCTTAAAGTATTTTTGAAGGAGTTATGCTGTTTTCGTACATTTCTAGTAGGCCTACTTCTGAAAAATTATTAAATACATATATTCAAGACTAAAATCAAACTTTCAAAATGGCGCACCTGACAGTTTAATTCCTTTTATATATATCATTTACTACAAGGAATAATATTGTAAACATATAGATAAATAGACAGAATGATAGAGAACCTCCAGACCCACATCTCCGAGAAGAGAAGACAAATAAGGTGGGTGTAATGAATCTAAACTGAATTATAACTCAAAATATTTTTAGATCGTCCAGACCTAAAGGCTATCGATTTTGTTTTAAAAATATTGATAAAATTTCTTTTGTGTTAAGTGAGACCTAATTTAGCTAGAGTTAAAATGATACTATATAGGAGAAGATTGAGTAGGGATATAATTAATTCAGTTAGCTTATAAAATATTTTAGTATCGAGAGAGACCTATAGTCAACTCAGCAAGTTCGTCCTTTGTAAATGATGTACAATGTAAATTGTTGAAACGTTGTGCACTATAAAACCCAGGAGTTTTATACCTTTAAATTGTGTTCTTTTATTTAATTAAAGGTCTTCAGAAGAACTAGAAATTTGAACTAGGAATTTCTTTTTCTATAGATGTCTTTTCTATATATGGCAGTGTCTGAAGAAAAGACGACTCGTGTTTTTAACATTATATTGTAGATAATTCTCGATACACATGGATTTGAAGGCTCAAATTTCGATGGTGAGCTGTGAACACTATAACTGTTTGGCTTAGCTTTGATTGGTCAAAATATGGCGCATCTGTCCCTTTAATGGTATCAAGGTTTTTGGAGTTATACAAGGTATTAATTATAAAGCCTCTCTGAAAGCAGTGACCATTTGACAAATTCTGTTACATAGTGTCATTCTGTTTCCAAGGAGATGGTCCACAGTAAAATAAATCATTTTATAGTAATTTTGGGGATTAGACTACGAATTTAATATCTAATGGTTGCTATATGTATATATACGTGTAATCAACCTCTGTCTTAATCCTTGTAAGACAATTAGAAGTATCACAGCACATTAAGAAACAACAGTTTTTATGGATATAGACTTCTATTTATTATTGAACACAACGTTTCATTACACATACAGGTAACGTTATCAAGTGATTGATTGTCTTATAAAGAAATGACCTGGATTATTTTGTCAATGTTCGTCTCGAACCATTGGACATTTAAATCAGAAAAAATTTCAAAATCAAAAAGAAATGTTTTGACAATCAAGTTAATATTTCTTTAACTAAAATTTTTCTTGTTTTGACAAATTTACATTTACGGAAAAACTGTCATTTTAAGAATTCCCTCGACTCCATTCTTTACTCGTGCGTTGCATTTATTCTAGTTTTTATTTTTAAAACAACAAGATAACGTCTGTTTAAAATTCATCTTTCAACACTATTGTCGAGAAAAACTTTGAAAAACTGTGAAACTTCCTAGACCTCAAAGTCCTATTTTTACACACACATGAGATGAATTATGATCGAGAAATCGCACACTTACAAAAATTGAGAATCTGGGCCTGATATATTAATATTTCGGTCAATGTAAAACGTTGTAATGATGAATATTTCTCATAAGAAATCATTTAATTTACCACAAACAAGAATTATTAAATTGCTGTTCAAAGTCAGTAAGCTAAATTTAAGGGACAGATGCGCCATTTCTGTCGACCAATCATGCTTCATTGTCTCAGAAACTGGATTTTTTTTAGCTGAACTAATCAGTAATAGTGTTCACAATTCACCGTCGAAATTTCAGCCTTCAAATCCATGTGTATCCATAATTATAATTATTTACATATAATACCTCCCCCCCCCCCCCAAAAAAAAATAAAATGTCGCATCTATCCCTTTAAACGTCTCAACCACAGAATGTGTCTCAAATATCTGAAATTTTATGTATTATGTCTAATTGTGGTAAATAGACATAGCGATATTAAAATATGTAAATTACTTACCACAGAATGATATGGTAGCTAGTTTGGATCTTTCTAAAGGCGGGGCCCAGTGTCTCCAGATACCATGAGTAGCAGGATACGTTACACCCTGGAAAAACAACATTGTGAAACAGTGAAATCGACGAATATATTCTATTTTCAACCATCCAGACTGAGAGTGCTATATTGGAAGTAATATTGGATTTTGGGACTTGAATTGTAAAGAGGATTTCTGAATTTTGTATGTGTATTGGGGACTGATCAATCAATATGCACCATTGCAATTTTTAATCAGACATCTGTAGTTACTTCAATTCTACAAACAAATAAGTGTTTTATGTCATTAGGTCAGTCGCGAAGGTCTTTATGTTATAAATTCTATTTGACGATATAAAACATACATGTACCCTAGAAACAATGTTTTTTAACATTGGTTTGAACGGA